ACAAAGAAAGCTTGAATATCTAGGCCACATATTGAGACACGATAAGTACCGTCTGCTACAATTGATTGTACAGGGAAAAATAGACAGTAAGCGAGGGCCAGGCAGGAGAAGACACTCGTGGCTCCAAAATCTGCGGAAGTGGTTCGGGCTCACATCGGTCAAACTATTCAGAAGCGCCGCAAACAAGATCAAAATTGCCATGTTAATAGCCAACGTTCGCAACGGATAGGCCAATTGAAGAAGAAGAAGACTTTGTTTTCGCGAGGTTAATATCTGGGCCAGCCTTGGATTATTTTTCTTGTAGTTTCGTCATCATGTAACTGAGGTCTTCTTGGTCTTGTGCAATCACTACTTGATCGTCTTCAAAGCTTAGCCTTTGCATTTTCTTTTCCATATATTCAAGGCTTTCTCTAAGTACATTTCGAATAAGGTTGAAGAGATGAAGAATATATTTTCTTTATACAGAGCTTTTGTAGCTTCTACGACTTCCGTCTGTATTTCTAATATATACATTGCCTCCTATAGTTTTGACCTTGGTACAGAGGAGTCATACGCCTTTGTCAGGTACACAAATGGTATATCTCTATTTTTTACTTTTTTGAAAAGAAATATTACAAATATTCAGCTTTTACAATTTCCAGAAGTTTCATTTATTGGTTATTGCAAAATTGAAATTGTTTATCTCTTTCTATCTTTCTTTCTCTCCTTCTTTTTACCCTATCAGGGTGTCGGATTTGGGCTAGCTACTTTAATTTCTATTTACCTACTTCTTTCATTATTTTCTCTGTTTCCTGCGATTATTTTCAATTCCTCGAGTAATTTTTGTTTTCCGCCTCTACTACTTTCTGTATCAATTTTTTTCTTGGTCTGCCTCTTTTTCTTTTTGCGATGCTTTTTGCTTCATAAAATTTGCTTGTTATTCTATTGGATTGCATTCTCATCAGATGCCCATACCAGTTTATTTGTCTCTTTGCTATTTTGTTCATTATCGGTTCCTGGTTGGCCATTCTCCTAATAGTCTAGTTGCAAAATCTATCCCATTTTGTCTTTCCAACTATCCTTCTTAGATGTCTCATCTCCATTGCGTTTATCCTGCTCTAATGTTTTTCCAGAATTGTCCAGTTTTCACTTGCATAGAGCACAGTCGGTACCACTATTGTGTTATATATTTTTATCTTGTTTCTCGTGTAAGTTCTCTTTTTCCCATTATTGGGGCTAACGCATAGTATAACTTGTTTGATTTCCTTGCTCTATTTGTTATTTCCCAGTCTATTTTTATGTCATTAGTTATTATACTTCCCAGGTATTCGAAAGTTATTACTATTTCCAATTCTGAGTTTTTACATTTTATCTTTATTTGATTATCTTCCTTATCTCCTCTGCCGCTGATTATCATTATCTTACTTTTCTCTTCGTTTATCTCCATCTTTAGTTCTTCTATTTGTTCTACCCATAAATTCATTAGTTTCTGCATTTTATTCTCGGAATCTGCTATTAGTACTATGTCGTCTGCATACATTGACTTTATTGTTACCGGTTGTAAACTGTGGTAACCTATTATTGTCTGTAGTTGATTGGTTCTGACTCTAGTGTTTCTTATCAATTCGTTCATTACTACTATGAATAGCAAAGGGCTGAGACTATCTCCTTGTTTAATACCTCTTACGATCTTTCCCCTGTTATTTGTACCCTACCTTTTACCTATTTGTAAGTACTTTCTATAATTTTTATCAATGCATTAGGTACATTTATTTTTCTCAAGAATTTCCCTATAATATGTCTGTCTATCGTGTCAAATGCTAATCTTAGGTCTATGAATTCTAATACTAGTTTTTCCCCCGTATCTATGCTTCTTTCTATTAGGTTTCTAATGATATATATATATATATATATATATATATATATATATATATATATATATATATATATATATATATATATATATATATGTGAATTGTATCAGCCCAAGTGTCTGATGATGGCTGGGATAGGCCGAAATGATCATAACACTTTAGTGATACCGATTCGAGCACGGGAAGTTTAACGAATTTGTCCTCCTAGGCCATATATTTGGCCAATCTAATACAACAAAGCGATAGCAGCTTTTTGCTAAAAGATTTATTCTTTACATATATATATATATATATATATATATATATATATATATATATATATATATATATATATATATATATATATATATATATATGTTCTCATTTGTCTGTCTTCCCGGCCTAAATGCCGTTTGTTCTTCTCCCAATACCATTTTTACTTCTTGTCTCAGTTTCTTCTTTATTATTTTCGTGTATATTTTAAAGCATACCGATGACAGATATATTGCTCTATAGTTGTCGCAGTTTACATGTTCTCCTTTTTTGTATATTAGCACGATGATATTCTTCTGCCAGTCTTTAGGGATTGTTAGTTTTTCCCACGCCTCTTTAAATTGTTTATTTTAAAAAGCTTTTATCTAAAATATAATTATGCGTAAACCATTAAGTCAATATGAATTATGAAAGCAACAAATATAGGAAAAAGGATTATTTTGTCAAAATAAATCATTTACCGAATGGAGTAAAAAGTTTATATCAAAATTTAACATATTAATTAATAAAAATTGTAAAGTATTGTTGTTGTTTGTTTGTGTTTAAATGACTGCGGACACTAAATCCATTCGCCAATCTTACAATTTGAGGTGTAGTGTGTGTGTGTGTGTAGAGTAATTGTCTTGATACTTAGCAAAGTCGACGTCATTGTCTTTGCTAAGAGACGCTAATTGTATCCGAACGTCTGCGGTCCCTCCGGTGTGTACCGATCACACAAGGATAGAAATTATTTTCATTTATTAATTTTTTTTAATAAACGAAAATTTCCACCCAGGTGGGATTCGAACTCACGACCTTAGATTTAAAGGCAGGCGCTCTTACCACTGAGCCACAGAGGGGGTTAATTGTAAAGTAGGTTTGCAAAATAAACATAACATTGCATAAACAACTAAAATAACTTAGACGCAATAGTATTAAGAAAGTTATTTTTTTATTTACCATGATGGCATTTTTCAAGAAATAAAAAAAGAACATAATGTCCTACAACACGTAAAACACTATTTTTTTAAATTTGGGTGTTTATGTTGGTGTTCTTACTAATGATCATTATTTTTGTCTTCTTGCAATTTAGTTTTAGGCTTTATTTGTTACAAATTTCTGCAACGTTATTCATCATCCTTTGGAGCCCCTGCGCACTATCTGCAAGCAACACTGTATCGTCTGCATATATAATGTTGTTTCTAAGTTGACCATTTACAGCAATCCCATCTTCTGATTCGTCCAAGAACTCTCTAAAGATGTTTTTAAATGTTAAATACTGCCGATGAGAATATGTAACCCTGTCTAACTTCTTTTTCGACAGAAAAGATCTCGTACAGTTCATATTCCAATCGCACTGTTGCTTTTTATTGAAAATATAAGTTTGAGATCAGTCTTATATCCTTACCTACCTGAGTCCCGATGTTTTTAGAATATCAATTAGTTTCCCCAGTGGGACTTTATCAAATACCTTCTCGAAATTAATGAAACATACATACACATAGCAGTTGACATCCCTGGCTCTCTGTATTTGAACTTGCAAACTAAAAAGTGCTTCCCTTGTTTCGAGTCCTTCTCTGAATCCAAATTGGAATTTTACTCATAATAAAAGACAAAAATCGAGTTCAAAATATCCGGAAAAATTTAGACAAGCATTAGCAGAAGCCGACCTACCAGTGATTACCGCAGACCCTGACAAAACGTGGGAATATACAAAGACATGGATCAATGAAGCCATCAACAATACTAATCACAAAGACAAAACAGTTAGGAAAAAACATTGGATGACTGAAGAGCCTCTCAATCTTATAGAAGAAAGACGAAAACTGATAGAGAACATATTCTTAATATTCCTCAAATTATCGAAAAATCTCAAGAGTTTAACATATAAACATATTTATGCTTTGTTGGCTATTCCAAGGCCTTCAGTGTCATAAAATGGGATAAAATGTGGCATATACTTGCAGAAACGACTACGCCAGAAGATCTAATCTAATTATTACAAAAATTATATGTAAATAATAATGCTAATGTAAGAGTTAATAATGTAGTTTCGAGACACTTCTCAAATTAAAATCTGGAGTTCGACAGAAATATGGTTTGACAATGAATATGCAGAAAACCAAAGAGATGCTCATCGATAGAATGAGAAACAACTAGACAGAGATAAGAATCATAGCAGGTTACGAAGTGGCCAGGCAATTTAATTACTTAGACTCCGTTATTACTAACAGTGGAGAATGTGAAGACGAGATCACAATGGCCGGATAGGCAACAGCCAAACTCACAAAAATTTGGAAGAACACAAGAAAAAACACAAAATTATACCTAGTCTAGCATTAATATTTCCTAATCATCACCTATGCTTCAGAAACTTGGGCAATAAAAAAGCCGATTAAAAGCCTATAATGGAATACTGGCCCATCGCACAAATAACTCAATTCTAGAACTAGACTCATCACAACTATCAACCAAAATATACTAAGATATTTTGTACATATAACTAGAAGAAAAGAAGGCATGGACCGAATGATAGTTGAAGATAACGTAACGGTTAAAAGTTCCAGAGGAGGATCTCCACTACGATGGTCGGATCAAATAAAGGATACCAAGTGGAAAATCTTGACTTCTAAAAAAAGACTTTAGTTTCATAAACGCTGATTTTGTAGTTTCAATGCATTTTTTTATTGCAGTAGTTTACGTTGGTACTGGTATATGCTGTTTATATTGGTATTAAGGTATATGTAGCTGTTTATTCTGTTAATTGACTGTTGGTTAACCAAAAGCCAATTAATATTTTTCGCCTAGTGACTACCATGTACTTTGTTTTTGAGATCCAGTCCCGAGAGTTTTTGAAAAAGTCGAGTTTGAGTAGCTTACTTATGTTGTATGTAAAAATAAAGAAATAATATTTACCTTGCGAATAATATCAATATACTGTCCTGGTCCATAGATAATAGAAGTACCAGTATCCACAACAACTTCACATTCGCCTGAAGATAAACGTTGGTCGCCCAAAGAAATACCATCTGCAGTTACTTGCCACTCGCCTTCTTTTGATACTGGTACATAGGTGAACTCCCCTTTGTAATATTTTGGATCTGATCCACCGAGCAAAAGTTCTCCTTTATCGCCATTGGCAGCTCTGAAAATGAAAAAGTGATGATTGAATTAGACATTAATAACGAACTAGATATAACAGACAAACAGATATCTCGTGAAATTAAAAATTAAAATTTGAAAGTTTGGTTATAGCAAAGCCACTCGTGCAGTAAACGTTAGAGGAGAAGGTGGTAATATGGCCCCTGCATATTTTATGGCCCCCCTCCGTATTTTAATAACAAAGTGCTGAAATCTAGTGGAGAACGCTGGAACTAGTTCACTAGTATACCAACTGGTCGGTAGGAGCGCTGTGAGCCATTAAGTGCAGTCACTCAGTAATTGTGCAGTAGTTTGTGTTTTGGTCAATCTTCAAAACTTTGAAAGGTATGTAAATTTCTTGATTTTAACTTACCATAACTAATAATAACTTAGTTCTAAGTATCGTGCATATGAATTAGAGGTTATTACCTACAGTTTAACACAGACTAGAATGTTTTAAGTCTTTTACAATTTATCTTGTAACCATGTGTTTTAGACTTGGAGATGTGTGTATTATGGCCCCCCTAGGTAATGGTAATATGGACCCCGGGGTCCATATTACAAGCAGTTTCAATATTTGTGGTTTTTTTATTTTTCAGATGCCTAGAATCAGCTTAACATCTAAACCAGCCAGAAAAAGGCAAATTTAGGACAAGGACAAAATGAAAGAAGCAGTAGCAGCTGTCACTGAAAAGAAAATGGGTGTCAAAAAGGCTTCTAAACATTTAGATGTGCCTAAGACCACTTTAAGAAGATATGTTAAAGAGGCAAGTACATCTGAAGCCACTGAAGTTCACACAAAAAGCTAGGTAGGAAACCAGCTATACCTGAAGAACTGGAAAATGAACTAGTGGAGTACCTGAAGTATATGGAGGCAAAATTTTACGGGTTCACTCGCTTGGATGTTCGTCAAATGGCTTACCAACTAGCAACTAGAAATGGGATTCAAACCAACTTTAGAAACGAAATTGCTGGCAGGGCTTGGTTGGACCATTTCCTTAGACGACACAAAGACAAGTTGTCAATCCGAAAGCCAACTGGAACATCATATGCTCGTGCAAAAGGTTTTACTCGTGAAAGAGTTAATGCCTTTTATGACTTGCTGGAGTCCGAATGTTCAAAACACAAATACCCAGGTGACCGTATTTGGAATGTGGATGAAACGGGCCTGAGTGTAGTTCAGACAAAAATACCACAAGGTATTGCCAGTAAAGGTAAACGCCAAATATGTTCTCTAACTGCGGCAGAACGTGGATCTTTGGTCACAGTCATATGTTCAATGAGTGCAGGAGGATCTTATGTCCCTCCGATGTTGATTTTCCCAAGGATAAACATGTCTGATCTCCTTATGAAAGGAGCTCCTCCTGGGTCAATTGGAAGAGCTCACCCGTCTGGGTGGGTTCAATCAAATCTGTTTAGAGACTGGTTAGCTCATTTTATTGAAAAAACAAATCCAATAGAGACCTCGCCCATACTACTTATCGTTGACGGTCACTTTTCGCACACAAGAAACATTGATGTGATCGATTTGGCAAGGAAAAATTACATCACGATATTGTCCTTACCATCCCACACAACACATAAATTGCAACCACTAGACCGCACTTTTATGGGAGCTTTAAAGACTCACTACAGTGAAAATATCCGACAGTGGATGCTTCATAAAAGAAGACCTGTTGGGCCTTACGATATTGCGTCCTTTTTGGGAAAGGCGTACCTCCGATGTACCACAGGAGTAAACGCTGTAAATGGATTTTGGGTCACAGGTATTTACCCCCTGGAAAGAAATATTTTTCAAGACCATGAATTCATTGCAGGGGAGGAGGAGGCACCAAACGAAAATCAGGCTGAGAACACTGATACCCGACTGCATGACACTCCTGCAGTTGAAGTCAATCCTCATCCACCAACAACCTTCGCTGTGTCTCCTAAAGACATTCACCCCGTTCCAGAAAAAAGAAAAAATCAAACCGTGGACGAAAACCCTGCATCGCAAACGTCATTACTAGTTCTCCTTATAAAAGAGAGCTAGAAGATTTTCTGGCAAAAAAAAAGCTGCTGCAAGTCGTCGTGGTTGTGGCCGTGCCAATGGGAAAGGCACTGGAAGAGGTGCTTCAACAAGTGTCACTCGAAGTTTGACGTTTGTTAACCCCATACCATCTTGTCCCGGACCTCAAACTAGCGCTGTGACGTTTGATAACCCCATACCGTCTTGTTCTGGGCCTCAAGCTAGCCCTAAAGGACAAGCAGCCAAGTCTGACTGTACCTTACGTGCCAACGCTGGAAAATCAAAGAAAAACAACCCTAAACACAAACGTCCAGCTGACAGCAGTGACGACGACGATGATGATGATGATGATGACGGGATGCAGCTCTCCACTTGCTCCGGTGAATCACCTTTTGATCTATCAGTTGGAGAGCCTCAACCAAACCAAGATGACGCATCATGTATTTTTTGTGATGAAAAGTTCACCAACAGCGTGCGGGGGGAACTATGGGTTCAGTGTCTCATGTGTTCACTGTGGGCACATAACGAATGTGCAGGGCAGAGAAGGATGAGTACGTCTGCGATTTCTGTCGTTGTTCGTCCATTATTACCATGTAGGACATTTTAATTTTGTAGACTAGACTATATCTACCTATACATACATATTATGCTGTATCTACTTATATACACTCTATCTACTTATGTATAATAAAAAGGTTTTTTGTTCAATGCAGTTATAATTTTCAGAATTTGCCAATATATCCTTAAATTAATAAGGGGGTCCATATTACAAACACCATGGGGCCATATTAACTGCACATCCCGTTTTCTGATGAATGTGTCAACTTTTAAAAAATTATTAAAAAAAAAATGTAAAATGAAGTCTTAAACCGCTTTAACTATTACAATGTGTTCGGTAACTAACACCATATCGTAACTAAGCTAACAATCTCTGTTTTTTCATTAATAATATCAATTTTACAATAAAAAATCAAAATGGGGGTTCATATTACCACCTTCTCCTCTATGCAGTGAGGAGCTGGATACTTTTACACTGTTGCATTGTTTCTTTTACTCGCGGTATTTAATATTAATTTTGTTGTGATTTTACGTTTTGTATTTGTGTATTTTGTTTTACCTAAATTGGTATTATTGAATATTATAGCATAAAGTTTAAGAGTAAATTATCCGGACGGGCTGTTAATAGTCAATGTCGAGAAATAATTATGTCTTGTTTGCAGAATAAAATTCCGCACACAAAAATTGTTATAATATAAAGCCCCTTAAATTTAGTGTTTCATAAGATAAATTTAGAAAACTGGCATTAACATTAATTTATAAAATTGTGCAAAAATTTGTATAGTTTTTTACTCCAGCCCAAACAAAAGATATTTGTCGGACCAGAGACTGTATTTGTACTTTTTGCTTACCGGCTCAGATAAAACGAAAATACTGCCTTATCAAGAACTTCTTGGTTGATCATGTTTTGGAAAACTGGAGACCACTTATTTCTGCTTTTTGTGGATAGGATAACCCTAAAATACCATCCCAGTTAGCAGGAAAATTACCAATTTCTTTAGTTGTTTCGCCGAACATTTGGTTCTTTACTAAAATTCCGCCAACCTGAAACAAAAATACTTTTAATAAGTTAACTATGTGTATTGGCTATTTCCCACTAGCGTTTCTGTATATTTAAGTCTCAAATAATGAAGGATATTTCAATATCAATTCATCAATCAGTTTATCAATCAGTTTATTCACAATTTTACTTTTTTTGTCGGACGTTAATCTCAAAATTTTTATCTCTGTCACATAAAGTCGATTTTTTTTCTCACTGCTAAACATTTAACCCCGTACACCATATAAAGTGCTAACAGCAAAAAGGGGACTTCCAAAAAAATTTAAAAAATACATTTTTTGTTCTTATTTCGTTCTTTACACGTAAACACAACGTTTTCAATAAACAGGGGACTTCTGTGTATACTCTAAGTATATTCAAAATGGCACCTTAAAATGGCAAATTATAATTTGGCACCTCGAAGTGGTGTCCATTTTAAATGCTAGAGTTCATTCCTGTGTTTTGTTTGCCCATTTGTTCCAGGAGATTCATGTTAGTACCCCTTTGTTTCATTTAGTAGTTGCTTTAATTCAAACCCCTTGCAATTCACCTATCCACGACCCAGCAACTCTAAATAAACTCTGAGTGCCCTTCGCAACAGTTTCGTTTATTTTACTGTCCACAATCTTGAACCCCCATAGTAATACCCTATGTAGTAGGCAAAATATATTCATTAAAATCTCTGGAGCACTTTATGTCTTCTTCTCAATTTCTGTTTATACAGGCAATAAATATTTAATAAGTAAAAAATAAAATAATTGTTTTAAATGATATGTCGAGAACATTAAAATGACAGAAATTTATAGAACTTTCTTAGTAAGATTTTTTACTTACCTCTATATTGTCTTTCGATATAAAACCCTTTACCGCTCCAGATCCGTAGTAGATTTTAAAAGGTTTTCCATTGGCTTGATATGTAGAAGATTGACTAGCATTGTACTGTCTATGGGTATCTGAAAATTTTGATGTAAACAGGATAAGTCAAATATTTAACTCTAAAACAATGTTCTTTCTGTTCTCTATGTATCAGAGTTAAAACACACCATTAAAAGATAAACTAAGTTTTACTATCTTTACCTTCTTCTTCTTTCAGTGCCTATTCGTTCCGAATATTGGCAATCATTCTGGCTATAATTATTTTATTAACTGATGCTTTAAATAGATTCGTTGTTGTTGTGGAGAACCATTTCCTCAGGTTCTTCAACCATGATATTCTAATTCTCCCAATTCCTTGCTTTCCGAATACTTTACCCTGTAGGATTACCTTCAGTAATCTGTATTTAGTGCTGTTTCTCATTATATGTCTGAGATATTCCAACTTTCCTCTTTTAATGGTATACATCACCTCTCTTTCTTTGCCCACTCTTCGTAATACGGTCTCGTTGGTTATCTTGTCTGTCCATGATATCCTTAGAATTCGCCTGTACAGCCACATCTCGAAGGCTTCAAGTTTTTTCTCCATTGCTTCAGTTAGTGTCCAGGATTCAACTCCGTAATACAATATTGAGAAGATATAACATCGTAGGAGCCTTACTTTTATCTCCAGATTAAGATTGTGGCTTTTAAAGAGTTTGGCCATGTTATTGAATGCACTCCTAGCCTTCTCTATTCTACATTTTATTTCCTGTGAGTGATCCCATTGTTCATTTACTGTTGTTCCAAGATAGTTATACTGTTTTACTCGGTCCACTGGTGTATTATTGATAAGTAGTTGAGCGTCTCTAACTTTATTTTTGCTGATGATCATAAATTTAGTTTTTGTTATATTTACTTGAAGTCCAAATCTTTCACTTACTTCATTTACTTTGTTTATTAGTTGCTGTAAACTGTTCAAACTGTCTGCAAAAATAACGGTGTCGTCTGTGAACGGTGAAAGTATACAACCTTGTCTAACGCCTCGTAGAATCTGGATCATTTCCGTTGGTTCACCTCCAAAATTCGTTCTTATTGTGGCTGATTGGTTCCAGTATAAATTTTGTATTATACGCCGATCTTTATCATCCATTTGGGCTTTTGTTAGAATATCCATCATTTTTTGGTGTTGAACTGTATCAAATGCTTTTTGCTAGTCCACAAAGCAGGTGTAAATATCGCAAGTCATATCTCTGCATCTTTGAAATAATACTTGTAGACTAAACAGTGCATCTCTTGTACCTACGCCTTTCATGAATCCAAACTGTGTGTCTTGTATTCTCTCTTCGCATAGCTTGTATATTCTACGATGTATAATTTTAAGAAAAAGTTTTAATGTATGGCTCATTAGACTTATTAGCCTATATTCTCCGCACTTTTTTGCTCCCTGTTTCTTTGGTAAGGTAATAAATTCTGAAAGTAGCCAATATTTTGGGATATTGCCTGTGTCATAGATATTATTGAAGATTTTACATAGTACTCTTAAAGATTCATCATCAAGAAGTTTAAGAAATTTAGATTGTACTTCGTCTGGTCCTGGAGCTCTACCTTCTTTTAGTGATATTATGGCTGCTCTTATTTCTGCCACTAGTATAGGTAGTCCTGTTTCCGTAGGTATTGGGGGCTGGTTCTCTCTCTCATCAAAAAATAAATTTCTTATGTAATTTTTCCAGGTATCATTGATACTCTCTTTGTCCACGATTATCTCTCCATTGTCATTAACAAGTTTACTTATTCTTCTGTTTTTACATTTACCTGTAATTTCTCTTACCTTCTTATGCACGTCGTATTTACTTTGGAGAATTTCGATTTCTTGGCATTTTTTCTCCAGTTCTTTCTGTTTGGCTTCTCTGACCTTTCTCTGTATCTCTCGCTGTAATGTTTTATACATGGAGTTATCGTTCTTGTTTTTCCTTCTTTCTTCCATTAGTTGCAGAATCTCTGTCGTCATCCATGTCTTATTGTTACCTTTTTCGTTCTTCATAAAATTGTCTTTAATGTCGTCTATTGTTTTCTTAAGGGATTCTATCTTATCTTCTGTGCTTTCCGTTGTATTATCGATTTCTTTAAATTTTCTATTTAATGTTTTGCTGACTATTTCTTTTACTTCGCTATATTTCAGTTTTCTCATGTCATGCTTTTTTACAGTTTTTCCGCGCATTTTCTTTAACTTAGTTCTATACACGCCCACTAAAGGATTGTGGTCAGATTGAATATCAGCGCCTGGGTAGGTTTTAACACTGTTGAAACTATTTCGATATCTTTTGTTAACAAGCATATAGTCTATTTGATTTCTAATAATAACGTCTTCTCCGTTGTCTCTAGGTGATTTCCACGTATACAGGCGTCTAGGCGGTAGTTTGTAAAATGTGTTTAGCACGATTAAGTCATGCTCAGCTGCAAAGATACTCATTGTTTCTCCGCGTTGATTTCTCTCTCCTAATCCATGTGGACCAATATGTTGCCCTTCTTTTCCGTTACCTATTTGTGCATTGAAATCTCCCATGATTATAAGGAGTTCGTGTCTCGGTATATCTCTTATAAGGTTGCTTATTTGTTTGTAGAATTCTGATATTTCTTCATCACTATGGTCTGCTGTGGGTGCATAGACTTGTATGATGTTTTGTTCATCGGTGACGTATTTATTGTAACAGGAGGATTCTATCGTTCACTGGTATGAAGTTGTTGACTTGTTTGGCTATACTTTTATGCGTGATAATTCCAACCCCATTCTCATATTTACCATTTTCTGATCCTGAATAGTATACTCTGTAGTCTTCTATATCACAATAACTTAAGTCAGGCCACCTCATTTCACTTATGCCCATTATTTCTATTTTCATGCGTTCCATTTCTTTAATTGCGCATTGGATTTTATCTTTACCTAAATTTTAAAAATTTTAGAATGTATTTTGTCCACTATTGTATATTTTATATGTGTGTTATTAATAGTGAGTGTCAAAGCTTTTTATAAATAATCTCAACGACTAGTAAGTTGCACTAAATTATACCTTCATTCCTAGTGTTATTTTTCCTTATATACCACAATTTGCATTCTTTATCTGTCCTGCCATGCCTTGTGTCTTGAATGCAACCAAATTGTACTCTCCGTCTTTTGTTGGATCATCAATCGTAATGATGATTCTTTTAAACGCATCTACCAACTCCATATTTTTAATTATAAGGCTCTTAAGACTCCAAGAGCATATCTTAGTTTTATATCTTTACACTATACAAAATACATGTTACAAAAATATGTACTTACTGCAAGCGTTGTGGTCACCCCCAGAGATTTCGCACTTGGACGAAGGAAGCCAAAGATCGGTAGATCCAGTGTCAAATAATACGTTGAACTTTTGTGGGGGAGTTCCAACACTGATTTCTCCATAATAAAACTCCTAGAAAAAAAATTAAAAATCTTTCACCCAATCTATAGTCCGTCTAGAAAGTATCCGGAAAAAAGAAAGCAGAATTATAATTTTACGGTAATTATTTCTATCACTTGAAATATAAAATTTTAACAAATAACTCATTTCATTTACTTATACAACCTACATTTAAATCTAAACACTTAACTAAATGTCCAGAAGACCATAATTTTCGGTAATGATGTTCCAGGCTTGTAAAACTGACCGAATCAAACCTTTATCTGGTGGCGCTGCTCGTTCCACTTCAATCTTCATCAGTCCCTATACTTTTTCAATGGGCCTAAATTCTAGAGATGCTGCTGGCCACGAAATTGTTTTCAATTCGTATTCTTGCATGCAAGCTTGAGTATAAGCAGAGGTATGACATCTTGCATTATATTGCTGAGAATACCACCCCTCTCGATATAAAATATGAGCCGTTTCAAAAGGCAAACCATTTAGTATGTCACAATATTTCCCATTATCAACAGTACCATTAACTAGATAGAGAGGTGTCGCACCTCTCTGAGATATTGCTCCCCGAATCAATATTTTAGTGGGAAATTTGGAAATTTTGAGCGGTAACATTTTCTCTTGATAGGACTTTTAGATGATTTGTACCAAGCTGGAAACAACTTCATCAGATATACAGACATTATTAAAATTATCTTCTCGAAAACGTTGACAAAAATCTATTCTTCGTTGTCTTTGCAGAGGTGTGATTGTAGGGATTTTTTTTTGGATTCCTTGATATGTAGCCTTGCTTTTTTAGTGACATCAAGTTTCATTAAGATAACTTCCAAGGTACGTTGTTCTTGTTAGTCTTTCCAGATCTGTTCCGTCGACATTGACCTTCATCCTTCTGTTTTGGTGCTTGCTGATGACTATCGTTTTTGTCTTCTTTTTATTCAATTTCATTCCAAATTCTCTACAGGCTGTCGTTACTCGGTCCATTAAGCGTTGTAGGGCTTAGCATTATCTGTCAGTATGACAGTGTCATCAGCATATCGCAGGTTATTTATACATTGCCCGTTTATAATTATACCATCCGAGGTGCCTTCCAAAGCTTTCTGAAATATCTTCTCGGAGTAAACATTGAACAGCAAAGGTGATAGGACACATCCCTGTCTTACTCCTTTCTCGATATTGATTTTTCCAGATGTTTCGCTTTTTATTCTGATTTTAGCCTTTTGTTCTTGGTAGAGGTTTGAAATGATCCTTAAGTCTTTATCGTCGATATTACATGATCTCAAAATATCTATTAGTTTCACCAGGTCAAACGCCTTCTAAAAGTCTATAAAACACAAGTATACATAAGAATCTACATCTCTACATCTTTCAACTAGCACACGTATTGAAAAAAGTGCTTCTCTTGATCCGAACCCATTCTTAAAACCAAACGGAGTTTGACCAGTGTGTTCGTCTAGTTTATTGTATACTCTATTGTGTATTACTCGTAAGAAAAGCTTCAACAAATGATTCATTAGGCTAATAATCCTATGGTCTTCACATTTCTTGAAGTTTCTCTTCTTTGGTAGTAGTATAAACACCGATGTCAGCCAATAATTTGGTATTATGCCTGTTTCGTATATTTTGTTAAATATATCTTCCATTACTTCGATGTGTTCGTCTAGTAATATCTTTATTATTTTAATTGAGATATTATCTTCTCCAGCAGCTTTTCCGTTCTTTATCTGATTTGCCGCTTTGATAATTTCTTGCTTTGTTATATAAGGTCCAGTCGATGCCTCCTGCATGTAAATGTTCAACCTACCTCGGTCTTGAAACATCTCTTCCACGTATTCTCTCCATCTACCTATTTGATCTTCTATGTTCAGTAGCGGGTTCCCATGTTTATCTTTGATGAAAGACGTAGGAGTTTGTTTACATATTCTAGCTGCTTCTTTTACTTTTTATTGTAGATTGAAAGTATCATGTCTTTGTTCCAACTCTTCAATTTCTTGGGATTTTTCACTTAGCCAGGTTTCTTTAGCTTGTTGGATCTTTATTCTGATATTCAAGTCAATAAAGAAACTAAAATGGGGACGTATCAACAACAAGGAAAGATATATTAAATAGATGGGTGGGATACCGGGTACTTAATATGGAGGAAGAAGAAGAAGACCTGGAAGACGAAAGAGGAATTATGCTTCTTAATGCAGCGTATAAAAGATTTTCCACAGTACAATATACTCACCAGATATTTATAGACTACAAAGCAGTCTACGACTCTCTGATAGGAGAGAAATGTTCAAAGCAATAAAAGGGCTAAGAATACCAAATCAGTTGGTAAAATTAACAAAACTAACTCTTGAAAAAGTTGGATGTAGAGTATGAATTCAGGGGAACTGTCTCAATCACAAATCACAACCATTGGTTTAATATATACAAAAATAAAACTTTACAAAACAATAATACAATAATAGTTATTGAAAAACTTTAACAAATGATAATTAATTTAAATAAATGGCAATTTCTAACCGAAAGATAATAAAGTCGTTAATTGTAATAACTCACATTATTCATATTAATTAAAGGCACTTTTCCATCTTTTCTAAATTTCCTATGGAGTCCACTTCTTACCAGATCACGCAATCCTTGTTCTTCATTGTTAACTTGTTTCTTCAGAGGAATTCTATAAAAAAAATACCCTCATGTTAAAATTACGATAGATATAGCTAAGATCTTGTATGATTAGTATAATGGTAGTTAAAGTAATTTTAATAAAATAACACTTAATAAAGTTATCCTAGCCATAATGATAAACTAAATCTCCGATAAGAGTCACACCACCAGAATAAAATGGGTTTTTGAAGACAAGAGGAAAGTAAATAATTATTTGGCAATAAAATTCTACCAAATACCCACTGGTCCCCAAAAAATATAGCTAAAATATTTTTTTAGCTTAAAATATTTATTAAAAAATAGCTAAAATATTATTAATAAATAGCTTCTAAATAGAGCTAAACTTAAAATTGCAGAAAAACTTGCTTATTCATCACAATGTTTGTTTCAGCCCAACGCCACAAATATCATCAGATATTTCTCCTTTACATATATCAGCAACATTTCTTTAACAATATCAAAACTGTTTACTTACTCTATACTTACGTAAACTCTATAAATTTCTTTTTAATTAACACCAAAAATAGGATGAGCACTCTTGACAAAAGTGGTATTTATAAATTAAAATGTGATGATTGTGATGCCTCTTATGTAGGTAGAACCCTTCGAAAGTTATCTACTAGAATCATAGAACATTTGAAAAGACCAAACTCTTTAAGCTTTAGTCAACAATTATTATCCAGGAAACATAATTTTAATATCATATAATGGTTCATCTATTTTATATGATATTAGTAGAAAGGAAAACTACTTGGAGTTGGATTTATTGGAAAATTTGGAAATTACAACGAACACAAATGAAAACTCTCACTGTCTTAATACTCAATACTCAAATTAATTTAAATTGTACTAAATTTAAACCTATTTTTAAAAACTTTATTGCAGCTTCACTTCGTCGGGGACCCAGCTCGACTGTTTAGACTTCCTGCACTGAGTATACCCATTAAGAGTTCATTAATTTTATATTTTGAAGAATATTACTTTTTCTTTCTTCAATAACTTGCAAAACAAGCTTGTTCAGGATCAATTAATCTATAGTTGGCGTTGATTACACTCTCCATATCTCTTCGTAGTTTTGATATACCATCTTCACGGTGTATATTTCAACATCTCCCACTGTTGGTCAGTTGGTCTTGAGTAATGCTTTGATATTTTAATTTTATGGTTCTCCGATTGACTGTAAGTTCAACTAAACTATTGGTATTATACCCCATTTATACATTTTGTTTTCAATTTTGATTTGCAAGTCTTAGTTTTTCAATTTCATAGTTTGATTTCTTCTTTTCTACAGTCTCTTGCCCCAGACTAACACCCAAATTATTACTGACAGGTGTAAGTGTGAGATCTGGATTATGCAATCTACATAAATTAACTCATATAATTTTATATTTTATCAATAGACTTCCATAGTAGTGTCAGTTAAACTTTTAGTCAATGCTTAGTTTTGTTACGATAATAAATATTATGACGTATAAAACTGTAAATATATTATGACTAATTCTTTTCTATTTGTAGTAATTTCGGCGCTCATACCTGTTACCTGCCGGCAAAAATTACTAGACCCTTCTTCGAGACCAAGAATGCAGCCGGCGGCGTGACCCTCCGAATTTACCAGAAGGCGATCGACTTTTCTAGTCTAGTTGAATGAGTCACCTAATAGATGGAAAGTCATCGAAGCATCGCCAGACCCTTCTAGATAACGGCATTTCATATAAACAACGGTGATTCTCATTGAGGATAGTTAGTCAAAAAGAAGATATCGCGGTCGGGTACTTTAAATGTTACGATCGTATTTAAATAAATTATGTAGTAATTATTGTAAGATAAATTAATATAAATAAACTTTAAATAAATTAAATTTGTAAGTGTTATAAATATTGAACCTTTAGTAGAATTAAAATAAGAACAATAAATGAGAATCCACTAGGAAACTAAGTTCCTGTAGCTGGCTGAATACCATATATCACAAAATTTTTTTCGAAATATGCAGATCACATCACCATGATTGTTTGTCATATGTCAGATGTCACTTTAATATTTCCGTTAAGACCAGGAGCCATTCTCTCTCGTGACGTTACTCAACATGTAACTTCTTCAAATTTATAATCATTTTTAAACTGTTTATTTTTGTTTCGTATTGTGTAAATGTATCAGTTAATGTTTATGACATTTACCATATTGTTGGATAGCCTAATTTTAACGAAGTTAGTCTAAAACGTTATATTATAAAAAAATTTATCAACCACCAACTTCGAGTTTTTTCGAAGTTAATTAATTTTTATATAGTTAAAAAAACGTTTCTTTTCTTATTTCAGATACCCCTGAAGATGCTCTAGAAGCGAAAGTACTTGGGTAAGGTTTAATAAAAATTGTGCTCGATATCTGCCATGTATTTGATTAAAGTTCATTTATTCGAGCATTCAACCTTATATTACCATATATAATAGTTCAGGTTCTAGAAATAGAATTCAGTTATCTCAGTCAATCCCATTCTTAAATCCTCAAAGACAAAATATGTCTTTGAGGACATAAGCCTAAACTAAACGTGTGATTTACTAGTAAAAATTATGTAATAGTATTCATCCAAAACGTAAAATGGCTGTCGCTCTAAAACTATTGACATTCTAAAATTATTATTATATTAACTAAAGGTAGAATGTCCCTATAGAAAACTTTCTAGTCTTCCTCATTGAGTTCAATTGATTAATTTGCTCCTTGCATAAAGACAACAAGTTCAAATATTTGTAAGGATAAGATATAGTACACTATAAAAACATCTATGTATCAGAATTGCAAGAAATGGCATGTTTATCGATACAATAAATAAAAAATAAACTTACCTTATAAGAGATCCATTGCTCATATCCATCCAGTTGGGCGATGCCGCAACAAGAAACGTAATAAGAATAAACACTTTCATTATGCTTTTTCTACAAAAAATATTTAAAAGTATTATTTAAAACGTAATGTATCTTATGTATCTTTACTGTATTAACAAGATCAACACTAAAATCAAAACAAATGGAGGACTAGCTAAGAGTTTTTGGAGTAACAAAAGGTTTTGTATCAACAACTGCGTGCTTTTTATGTACTATTCCGGGAGAAAAACCAATACAGGTGAAAAATTAGGATATTGTCTTGTAATTTTTGAAGATGTACTTGTATCAAGATGATAGATATATTAAAAGGACCAAGTATGGGTAGCTAAGCTATAAATAGCTAAGAGTTTTTGGAGTAACAAAAGGTTTTGTATCAACAACTTCGTGCTTTTTATGTACTATTCCGGGAGAAAAACCAATACAGGTGAAAAATTAGGATATTGTCTTGTAATTTTTGAAGATGTACTTGTATCAAGATGATAGATATATTAAAAGGACCAAGTATGGGTAGTATAATCCTAAGATCAAATTTGTAGCACTAAGCACATACTCCTTGACATGTCTGGAGGCAAAATCTGGTAATCCCAGTATATATAAAGAAACTTATAAGCGTACAAGCCACGAACTCAGAAAACCAGTACTTTTCCTAGAGTTTATACAGTCTACACAATGACCACTAATGCTAAAAAAAGGTTAACAAGAAAAAAGAAGAAACATACTACGAAGAAGAACATTAAATCATAATATTTATTATAAGAATATTGTAAAAACACTAAAAGGAAAGTGAGATTAGAGTAAGTGAGAGCACCCACCAAACTGGCATGGCAACTGGCAAGTAGCAAGTAGCATGCGTCTAGCATGCTATTTAAAATGTAACCAATGCAAACGAGTAATTAGAATGAATGACATCACTGTCATTTTGGCGTGCGCTGAATCATTCGTTTGCATTGGTTACATTTTAAGTAACATGCTAGACGCGTGCTACTTGCTACTTGCCACTTGCCATGCTAGTTTGGTGGGAGCTCTCCCTAAGACTTAAATATGTAATACATGTCTTGTATGATAAAGAGGAACAAGCTAGATATTGTAAAAACAATTAAAAACGTCTATCAAAATATGGAAGGGATCTATTTTAGGACTATTTAGGACTCTTGTTGGCAATTTTTCGGTTTCCATTCTCACTGCATAACCAGCTTATCGAAGTCTTTGAAATTTAACAACCTCTGAGATCGGTATCTTTTCCCGATCTCAGATTCCAATCCAGTTACAGGCCCAGAAACTACAAAAGAAGCCGAAGACGACCACCAACTAGATGGAGGCATATGTCCAGCAAAGGACGTGATTGGTTCAGCTATGATGATGATTGAAAATTGTTAAAAAAATCTTCTTCTACTAAGTCTTTAATCTAATGTAGATATCATTAAGATATTAGCTCATTTTTGAAATGTTCCTCCACGTCTTTCTGTCCTGCCATTCTAGCACATTATTCTGACAATGGAGCGCCAATAGTAGCAACAATATGACCAATAAAGTGTTTTCTTTATGTTTAGCTGGTTCGGTATATTTCATTTATTCTTCAGACCATGCATGGTATTCTCAGCATTTGTTTCCACCAGTATAGCTAAATACATCTATAATATTTATATCTTTATTCACGAGGGTCTAGCATTCCGATGCATAAGTGAAAACTAGAAAAATTAGGCTTCTTACTAGTCTCATTTTTCTTTCTTTCAAGACCCATCGTTAAGCTTTCTCCTTCAATCTGTTGTAGAAGGTAAATCAGTTTAACTACGGAACTAGTAAGAATGATTGTACCATCTGCATATCTTAAGTGGCTGCAAACCTTTTTCCAATTAATTTTAATGCCACCATTCTAGTCCTAAGTAGCTCTCCGTATTATCTATTTACCATATATGTTGAATGGAATTGGGTTTAGTATGCAGCCTTGCCTCATGCTATTAGTGACACTGAAACTTTCGGTTAGTTACCCATTTATTCTAACTCTGGCATAATTGTTATTGTATTGCATTTTAATTAGCAGTATCAGATAATTCCCCCTTAGATTCCCCCAGAAAACAATGACGTGTATACAGCACAGATAAGTTGCAATGTTGAATTCTCTGGATTTTTCTATAATCAGTCACACTTTTAAAATTTCTTTTCTAGTCCTACGTTCCTTTATTACATCAGGAAGTAAAAAAGGGCTTTATCGTCTCTAGAAGGATGTAAAAAACTGTCTTACCGTAGTGTGAAATTAGAGCAGTTGTGCGATAGTTACTACGAAATTTAATTATATTAAAAACTTCTTATCAAAAGGAAAAATAATAGTATCAATTCTTAATTGCACAATGTATTATTCTAGGAATAAAAATAAAAGATTCAATGCACATTACTGGAATGAAGATGGGAGATCTTGTACTAAACCTATATTCATCTACCAAAAACTATGATACAAATATATATTTAAAAATATGAGATGTTGAAATGCATATATAAAAATTGCTCCAGGAACGTTCGATAGATAAGAATGACCTTAAAATCATAAGGAACCTTTATATGAATTAAGTAGCATCTGTGAGAGTAGGACTGGAATCTACATAATATTTCCCAATCGAAAAAGGTGTATGACAGGGTTGTTTTCTGTCACCCCTCCTTTTGAATCTTTACTCTAAAACGATTTTCGATAGAGCCTTAAGTGACGCTGAAGATAAAATCAAAATCAACTAACAGACTATTAGTAATCTTCGCTATACTGATGATACAGTTCTAATAGCTCATAGCCAAAAAGCGATAAAACGACTAATAGATAGAATAAACACTAAAATAGAACGACTGGGCTTGAAAATTAATATAGAAAAGACGAAGGTAATTGTGGTTAGTAGAACACGAAATATGCAATTAAATATAAAAGTAAACAATAGGAACATCCAAAAAGTCTCCAAGTTCAGACATTTCGGTAGTTGGATAAGTGAAGATCTAGATCCAGATATAGAGATACGTAGCAGGATTGAGCAAGCCACAAGAGCATTTACTAATATAAGAACCTTACTAAGCAACAGCAGCCTTTGCTTCACGCTTTGATATCGCTTTGTAAAATGTTACATTTACACCATACTGCTATAAAATGTAGAAACCTGGACCATAAAGGCCAATGTTATAAACCGATTCGAGCCTTTGAAGTGTGGGCATTTAGAAGGCTACTTAAAATTCCCTGGACAGATAACACAACAAATGTCGAAGTATTAAATCGAATGGACAGAGAACGAGAATTGCTGCCAATGAAGAAAAACTGCTTATCTGGGTCTAATATTTCGAAATTCCAAGTACCAATTCTTAAAGCTTATAATGCGAGAAAAAAACGCCAGCCCTCGTGCAGTAAATCCTTTAATGACTCAACCAACCATCAGCTATGCGAAAATTGCTGCAGGAAAAAAAAATAGAAATACATCTAACATAGATCAGACTTCTCATGCAATAGAAACAACAACTCCTCAACATATACAAAATAATCTAGAACTCCTAGTACATAAGTTAATGGAAAGAATGGATAAGATGTTTGATCTCATAATGTCTCTGATATCTAAGCTTAACCTTCAACACTAAACTAAAGATGTGCTGTTGGAATGCCAATGGCTTAACCAATCATTTCCACGAAGTTAAAGCATTTATTTACTCCCATAATCAAGATGTAATGTTTATTTCCGAAGCACACACGACTAATAAGAGCCATTTCTATATTCCCAAATATTTAACCTATGTAACTCATCATCCATTAGGTAAAGCCCACGGAGGTACGGCAATTATTATAAGAAACAACATTAAGCATCATGAAATAAATAAAATTAGTAAAGTTAACATCCAAGCCACATCAGTGTCGGTCGAAGATTCACAAGGCCCGATTATTCTATCTGCTGTTTACTGTCCACCGAATAAAATAATTAAAGCTGATCATTTTACTGAATACTTTAAGATGCTCGGACACCGTTTCATTACTGCTGGAGATTTTAATGCCAAACATCATAAATGGAGTTCCAGAATCATAACCTCACGTGGACGAGAATTATTAAAAAGTATTAATGAGAATCATTTAATTCCTTTCTCTACTGGAGAGCCTACGTATTGGCCCACCGATAGACAAAAAATTCCTGATCTTATTGATTTCGCTATAGTAAAAGGAATATCACATACCTATCTCCAAATTTCTCCTTCATTTGACCTCTCATCAGATCATTCCCCTTTCTTCATAGATCTACATAGCCAAATTCATAACTGTCCTAAATACCTAACACTCTCTAATAAAAGAACAAACTGGAACAGATATAGAGAAGAAATAAAAACAACCATTAACCTAAACTTGCCTCTTAAAAGTGATAGCGACATAGAAAATGCAGTTGCTCACCTAACTACAGTTATTCAGCAAGCTGCTTGGACGTCTACCCCAGAATTTACTCACAAACACAACTCTGAGTCCTATCCTGTCACATAAATTCACTCATATTGGAAAAAAGAAAACTGCGAAAGAAGGGGCAGCTCACTAGACATCCAGAAGATAAAGCAAATCTTAATAGAGCTTGCAGACTACTCAAAAGAAAACTGATCCAACATAAAGACAATGGAATCAACAGATATTTAAAGAACCTCTCACCTGCAGATGATACAAACTATTCGCTGTGGAAACTAACAAAAAAACTTAAACACAACGATCAAATGAATATGCCAATCAGGAAACAAAATGGCACTTGGGCTAAAACTGACATAGATAAAGCATATACTTTTGCAAATCATCTATGCGAGGTATTTCAACCGCATCAGAGGGAAGTCTCAGTTGAAGAAGAGCAGGCTATTCATGAAGTCGTAAATGCACCATATCAAATGGCTCCACCTATTAAATCTATTAGGAAATCGGAGATCAAAGAAATAATTAATAATCTGGAAAATAAAAAGTCACCTGGATATGACTTAATATCTAGTTTAGTACTAAAAAATCTACCCAACGAAGGCGTAAGTTTAATTACTTACATATTTAATTCAATATTAAAAACAGGTTATTTTCCACTCCAATGGAAAGTTGCTCAAATTATTCTTATTCCAAAACCTAATAAAGATCACACGGAAGTATCTTCATATCGCCCAATTAGCTTGTTGCCTATTATATCCAAAGTATTGAAAGGCTTTTCTGAGAAGACTGGAGATTATTTTATATGACAGTAATGTTTTACCGAATTATCAATTTGGGTTTAGGAAACAACATGGTACTATCGAGCAAATTCATAGGGTGGTAAAGACTATCAGAAATTCGCTCGAACAAAAAAATTACTGTACTGCTGCATTTCTAGATGTCTCTCAAGCATTCGACAAAGTTTGGCATGTAGGTCTTATCTCTAAAATTAAATCCATATTTCCTCATCCCATAAGCTCACTTGTAAGATCCTACCTGACAGATCGATTCTTTCAAGTCAAAAGAGGTGGGGAAATCACTAACCTGTTTCCAATTTGTTCCGGAGTTCCACAAGGAAGCATACTAGGACCCACCCTCTACTTAATATACACATCAGATCTCCCAACGACGACCAATACAACAATCGCTACATATGCTGATGACACAGTTATCATGGCTTCAAATTCTACAGCAACTGAAGCATCCCAGATATTACAAAACCACCTACTTAAACTAGAGAGCTGGCTTAAACTGTGGCGAGTCCAAGTTAACAGTTTAAAATCAACACAAATAACGTTTACTTTAAAAAAAGATGTCGCGCCACCAGTTTCTATAAACAACACTCCACTACCAGTTAATACCGTCGTTAAATACTTAGGAATTCATTTGGATAGCAAACTTAATTGGGGTATTCACATCTGGAAGAAACGCCTTCAACTCAGCTTAATCTACAGGAAAATGTATTGGTACATGAGTCGAAAATCTAATCTAAGCCTGGAGAACAAACTTCTAATATATAAATGTATTTTAAAACCGGTATGGCAATATGCAGCACAAATCTGGGGTACAGCAAGTAATACCAACATACAAAAACTTCAACGATTCCAATCGAAAGTACTGCGCCAGATCTGCAATGCCCTTGGTACATTACGAACTACAGATTACACCACGATTTACAGTTACCAACAGTTAGCGAAGCAATATCTGCCGTAAACGCTGTATACAAGACCAGACTATCCTGCCATCCAAATCCGCTGGCCACGGATTTGCTCAACATTTCACACGAAAGAAGATTAAAACGACCAGACCCTTTGGACCTCTAGTAAACATGGAGAAACAGAGTATAGTGTCATAGTGCGGTGAAATAACAAGTTTTTATTCTGGTGTTTTCCTAAATCTTTTCTTGATTTTTTTTTCTTTTTTTCCATTTTTGAGTCTTGTAATACTTATATGTGTGTCAGTGATGTTTATCTCTATTAAACTTTGTTTGTTAAGTTGAAGTTTAAATTAATTGTTATATCATATATTATATTTATATTATGTCTTACCTGGGTGCTTGCCACTGTGCGGTGTCCCACTATGTTATTGTGTCTCTGTCCCACTGAGACAGATTGCAATAAACATTGGATGTTAAAAAAAATTATGGAAGAGAAGATAGAAGGAAAACATGATATCGGAAGATAGAAATACTCATGGCTTCAAAACATTAGGAATTGCACAACCTCGATGCCCATGCACTCCTTAGAACCACATAAGATCGAGAGGAGTATGACAGAATTATCGCCAACATCTACTAATTGCATAAAGCACCATAAGAAGAAAAAATATAAACGATACATGTGGCAAAAATAATAAAAATAAAAATGAACGCTTATTCTATATGGAAGTACAGGCACAATTTTTAAATAAACGATAATAATTTAAAAAATGACGATACTAATTTAAAAAATGTTAAAAAAGTTGCAGTTAACGTATTAAAAACTTACCTTAATCTTGACAAAGCTCGCAAAAAGTTAAATGCTGTATCCAAATCTGTGTGATATTTATACTAAAAAATCATTGTCGTGAATAATGCGTATCGTGCCCCATAATAATGTTTTATTATTTTCCTGAGACACGATAATATATTTTTTTTATGAGGCACGACCATTTTGCCATATGATTCGGAAAGCCACGACTTTTGAAACTATGAATTTTTACTGGAATAATTGTTATATTTGTTTCAACATGGCATTTTGTTTTTAACTACCCTATTTTTGTTGGTACCACTACTTCTTCAAATATCATGTAGTCCTGAAATATTAGCAATTAATAGCTTAATCCCTTTATATTTAGCCTAAACAGACTAACTGGGTTGGCAATGTGCGAAAATTTAGGTTTTTATGTGAAAATTTTATTAACTAGCGATAGGAGACTAACGATAAAAAATGTATCTTTCTATAAGTAAAATTGTGTGAAATAAAATTTTCGATTAAAATATGTTTGATTAATTCGACAATAAAATTTTTCATTACAGGAAAAATTAATTTCGCAAAAAAATGTAACAGTACAATTTAGAAAATTTTCTTTTAGTAAATTTAATTTAGTACTAGCGGACCAACACGACATCGAGTTTTTTAAATGAAATTTTTATTTTGCGAGAAAAATTAAGAGATCAATACAAACAATATAAGCAAGAATATACATAACATTCATCAATAATAATGCAAGTAAAAAGTGTATTAAATATGTATCACGAAATATTTCGTCGGAAACAATGTTTTTTGTTACAATATCTCCATTTTCTGAAAACTTTTGCTGGGCACCAGGAGTTATGTAAACTTTTACTTTTTACTTTTTAATAAAAACGAAACCGGAAGTCGACCTCAAAACCGGAATGCAATTTTTAGTTCATCAAATGTCGACATGGATATCATTTAGCATGCTGATCACGAATCCGGTGTCAGATTTGCTCTATCTTGACGTTTTATGCGCGTTTCGGGTCACTTCCGGTGTCGGATCGTAACCGGAAGTACATATCTAGATTCGTCTCGACGAGACCTTTTGATCCATATATACATTGTGGGGTCTAAAACTTAAAGTAAATTTTAACTTCCGGTCATCTCAAAACCGGAAGTGAATTTTTGTACCAAAAGTATATCTTGACAATCTCATCATCATCATCATCAATCAGCCAATCGCGTCCACTGCTGGACATAGGCCTCCCTCAATTCTTTCCAGTGTTCTCTACACTGGGCCGCTTGTAGCCAGTTTCCCGCTACACGTTTAATGTCATCGGTCCATCTAGTCGGTGGTCGTCCTCGGCTTCTTTTATAATTTCTGGGCCTCCATTCCATAATACGTCTTGTCCACCGTCCATCTTGTGTTCTGGCTAAGTGCCCTGCCCAGTTCCACTTAAGCGTCGTGGTTCTTTCGATGACGTCTTGAACTCCTGATCTTCGTCTGATTTGTTGGTTTGTTATGTGGTCTCGAAGGCTCACGTTCCATGGCTCGTTGTGTAACTCTAAGTTTATTCGCAGATTTTTGCGTGAGTGTTAAAGTCTCTGCTCCATAAGTTTGTACAGGTAAAACACATTGGTTATAAACCTTTCGCTTGAGACACATGGGAATTGAACTTTTTAGAATATGGCTTAATTTGCCAAATGCTGCCCATGTTAGACCTATTCGCCTCTGTATTTCATGTGTTTGATTGTCTCTGCTTATTTTGATTTCGTGTCCCAGATATTTGTAAGTGTCTGTTTGTTGTATGGTATTATTGTCAATAGTTATATTTCCACTCATTACGAGATTTGTTATAATTTTAGTTTTCTCAAAGTTTATCTTTAATCCTGCTCTTTCAGACAGACTTTTAAGCGAATGCATCATAGTAACTGTATCATGTAAGTTATCTGCGATTAATACAACATCATCTGCAAACCTTAGGTGATTTAATCTTTCTCCATCTATATTGATGCCCATATCTTGCCATTGAGTACCCTTAAATATTGACTCTAGAGCTGCCGTGAACAATTTTGGTGAAATATTGTCTCCTTGTCTAACTCCTCGTCCTAAGCTGAATTTTTCTGTGTCTTCGTGCAATCGTATACTTGATGTAGCGTTCTGATAGATGTTTTTGATTAGTGTCGTGTACCTGTAATCTATTCGGCTTTGATTTAGGGCTTCCAGTATTGTTTCAAACTCTACAGAATCAAAAGCCTTCTCGTAATCGACAAATGCAAGAACCAGTGGTATGTTGTACTCGATGCACTTTTCTATTAAGATCTTTATGGTATGCAAATGGTCATTTGTGCCATATCCTGCCATGAAGCCTGCCTGTTCTTTGGGCTGATAGAAATCAAGTTTAGGTGTTAGCCTCTTTGTTAAGATTTTCATAAAGAGTTTGTACATATGTGTCAAGAGGCTGATGGGTCTATAATTTTCTAATTTAGTAATATCGCCTTTTTTGTGTAACAAGACTATTACTGCATTGTTCCAGTCTTTTGGAATTGTACCCGCATGTAAGCATTTAGTAAACAGTTCGCTTACTGATTTTAATAAAATTTCTCCACCTGCTTTTATTGCCTCGATAACGAGTCCATCATCACCAGGCGAACGATGGTTCTTCATTTCCTTTAAAGCTGCTCTTACTTCTGACACAGTAATGGGTAAAAGTATTTCCGATCCCTGATTTATGAGAGTCTTTACTCGTGTCGGCACGACAATCTCATACGTAATACTAATAATATTTCGAAAAAATATTTTAATTATCTAATATGGTTTTTGAGTAAAGTGGTGGACAACAAAAGGGCTTAGCGTTTTAGTATATAAGATTCCTTAACAATTTTTCTTACCATCCATTTTTTAGTACAATAATCTAACTGAGTGCGTACATCCGGGTTACAATAGACTGTGCTTGCCAGTCATTTGTTCTACTTTTCTGTCAATGTTAAATGTGCTGTATTTTTCTAGAAGTTGGTTTTGATATTTTTTTGCTGTCCAAATATTTTGGTTTTTCTGTACCTTTTGTTACTAAGTTTATTGCCTGATTGTACTCAGTTGAGCTTGTTTTGTGCTTTTCACTGTCATTCATGATGTAAATGATTCTTTTTATTCTTACTGCTTTTATATAACAGCGCTACAAGCCTTGTATGCCCCTGCTTTAAAAAAACCTTAATTTTCCCTCATTTTTCCATTCCCTATCCATTTCTCTCCAGTATTACTTTACGACTTCCAACAATTCCCGTTTCGACGTCTTCTTCTTTTTTTTTTCATTTCCGCCTTTTTTCTTTTAAAATATAGGTTCTCTAACAATCGCCTAATGTGACTAAGCCATCTAGCCCTTTGAGCTCGTAGTTTTGCGTACTTGTTGGTTTTCTTATTGATATTTTGCATCCTAACTTATTATTTATGCTTTAAAGACAAACTGTGAAGTAAAGAAGAAAATCTTTTTACAATACACCAAACACAACAGGCATACAACCTCTATAAACGAGTCAGAAATGAAACGAATACTTTGGTTAGACAAATAAAAAGAGAATACTGGCAGAGCTTCCCAAAATAGATGGAACACTACTTCTACAGAAGACGAAAAGAAATATGGAGAATGATCCGAGGACAGAGAAAAGAGATGAACGAACTAATAAAAACGAAACATATTCAAAAGGAAACATGGGTAGACCATTTTCGATCCCTTTTTGCTGAAGGTGACGATAATGAACCACCAACACCAGAGGTGAAGACAAACGAAGAAATAATTATTAAGGAGAAAGAGGTAAAGGAAGCATTAAGGAAATTAAAAAATAGAAAATTACCAGTAGAGGACAAAATACCTGAGGTTGTGAAGAGAAAGACAAAACTATGGAAATCTAGAAAAAATATTGGCACCGCGGAAATAGTTCATGGTGATAGTGGTAGCGGTTTTAAGGGAGAGGAGAGTAAAGTTTGGTTATACATATACAGAATTAGAAGGACATCGACAGAAGAAGATATTCGTACATTTTTACGAGACAAACGCGGAATGGAAGAGAAATCTATTATGGTTAAAGAGCTACCCAGCCAAGAAAACATGCTAAAGCGATTTGTGGTATCGGCTCCCCTCAACAAAAAGAATGATATGTATAAATCGGATTTCTGGCCCGTTGGAGTTGGTGTCAAAAGATTCCATATGAATCGATATCAAGAATACTTAGACAATGGAGGTGGAAATTTTTAACGAAAGACATAACAGGTAGGTTAAAAGTTGCAAAGTATGTTAATATTCGTTCTTTATTTCCTAAAATAGTTGATATAGGTAATTATGTTATTGATAAACAATTTGATATATTTTGTGTCTCTGAGACATGGCTCGAGCCAGCAATACCGAATAATGCTGTACAAATTTATGGTTACAATTTAATTCGTCAGGACAGAACAGCAAACTGTCGAGGTGGAGGAGTTTGTATGTACATAAAAAATAATTATCAATTTTCTGAAGTTAAATTTGACAATAACATAGAACAAGTGTGGATCAAACTAAAAATTAATGACTTGTTGATAGGTATAGGTGTAGTCTATAAACCACCAGACTACATAATTAATACTTTTATTGAAATTTTTGAAAAAGTTCTTGTTGATATGGTTACAGATTGTGATGAAATTTTTTGTTTGGGTGATTTTAATGTTGACTTACTCAATCCACATCTGAATCCAGCTCATAAAATTAATGACTTACTTGACAGTTTTAATTTGGTACAGATTATTGATGGGCCAACTCAGATAACCCCTACATCGCAGACTCTGATTGATTATATAATTGTCTCAAACGAAAATAGAATTAACTCCTTTGCAGTATGTTCTCTTGACCACATAACATATCATGAGCTTATTTATTGTGACATCAACATCTTTCCAGAAAAACCAGTCACCATTTTTAAGACTGTTAGAAATTTCAAGCACTTTGATGCAAATCTTTTTTTACTTGATTTAAACTGTACTCTGTTTGCCAACATCTATCACATTGAAAACATTAATGACAAAGTAAAATTCTTAAGCAGCTCCATTGTGGCTCTCTTTGACAAA